TTGTGACAAATTGAACAAGAATTGCTAGCAAAAACGTTAAGAACAAACCACATTGTTCTTCACGACCTTAAGAGGTCTAACAATGGAAGATTGCTCATTTCTTCACCAAATTGAGTCAAACAAGTCTCAAATTACTCCCAAGGAAATATATAAACATAAACAAGCAATTTCATGGCATAAAACTTGACAAACAAAGCAAATTGAGCATCATAGAATTCGAATTTTCATGAAATTCGTGAATATTCATGCCAAGAATTCGTAAAAACCGGTGTGAGTTTGAGGAAAACTTACATAGATAGGGAAAATAGATGAGAAGAGCTTTGATTTGCAACAAATTTGAGCGAATTCGGTTGAAAAACGAGCAAGCAATGAGCAATTGAAGTTTCGGACTTCTTTCGAGCAATTTCGCGGCGAACAAAGCAGCAAAAGAAGAGGAAACGGGCATTTAAAGAAAATCCCGTGCTGGCGCCAGTCCCTAGGAATTGGCGTCATAATCTGGGCTTGGAGCCTGGCGACAACATCAGCGCTTGGTGCTAACACCAAATTGCTGGCGCTGATAGTTTTTCAGTGACGCCAAAGCACCTACCCACCTGTTGAGGTTGTGCTAGCCTTCTGCAACATATTTTTAGGTTCCTTGGTACGCCAGTTAGCCCCTCTAAGAAATTTGACAAGATTAAGTAATCAGCTTGATTACATAAAGTGATCGACTTGATAAGAGATCGTCTCACTTAGCTTAAAGCGCCTAAGCATTGGCTCATTAGCAAAAGGCACCGACATATAGGTTCAAGAGCAAAGAGCACCGACATACAGGTTCAAAGCAAAAGAGCGCCGTCGTAGAGGCATAGCGGAGGCAAAGTTCAGGCGAACTTTTAAAGATTGACAGGCGTGGATCTTCGGTAATTTCTTTTGGAAAATTATTGTATCAAATGAAGATGACTTCAAGAGAAGATATCTTCGACAGTGTTCCCTAGCTTGCGGAGAGTTGTCACGAACAACATGAGGATTATTTCAAGAGAAATAATCTTCGATAGTGTTCCCTAGGATGTAGAATATTATCAATGCGGATGAGGATTATTTCAAGAGAAATAATCTTCAAAAGTGTTCCCTAGGATGTGGAATATTATCAATGCGGATGAGGATTGTTTCAAGCGAAATAATCTTCGATGGTATTCCCTAGGATGTGGAATATTATCAATGCAGAGGAGGATAGTTTCAGGCGAAGCAATCTTCTGATTTGGAAGCAGTTACAGGAGTAGTGGTTTTCAAGCGGGATGGCATTCTCTAGCTTGTGGAGGTCATCAAAACAATCGGTTACTTTCGAAGACGTGTGCTCGACGGTGCAAGATACGCGTTTCTTAACTCTTCTATCTGTTTAACTAATGCTAGTTTTGCAGGTATCGGCGTTATAAGATTGGTTTAGGATCGCAGAACGTTCTGAATCATTCTCCGTCCCTATCGATACTTTGACTTTTGTTTTCGAAACTTGCGTTTCTCCAAACTCAGTCAAAGTGGGGGCTTCTGTAGAAACCCATTTGTGTCTCCCCAAAACCAAACCCAGTGATGAGTACCTTTCACGTCGAATCATAATCGAATGAAACGAAAGTGTGGAAGGTCTAGTGTTGCGGAAAGTTTTTTTATTTCTTTTCTCTTCTCTCTGTTTTTGAAAACTTTATTTTAAGAAAACAGCCAATCCAGTTTGGTTGGTCCATGATATGGGTCCAATAGTAGTGTAGTTGGATGGGGCTTGCAAAGACCTTTCCAACGATATATTATAAGCCCAATTCCGATGAATATTGAGGAAGTTATGGCCAATTTACTAAACTGGGCCCGGTTTGAGCTTTATGTACGGCCCAATGATCTAGGGGAGGGCCTAATATGATTTATCATTCCTAATGCAATTAGGAATGGTTTTGGTATTCTAGAATCTTCTAGAAGGTTCTTTTCATTCCTAATTCAATTAGCATTAATAAGTTGACTTTGTTGACTTTTCAGAGTTTTAATCAAAATCAAATAGCATTTTCGAAGAAATTATATTATTTTATCTTCCAGTACGGTAAACTTATCGGATTTTCGAAAACGCGTTAGAATCAAGACTGGCGTCCAACCCCAGGCCTTGGCGCCTGGAACCAGGCTTGGCGCCTGGAACCAGGCTTGGCGCCTGGAACCAGGCTTGGCGCCAGGCGCTAGCCATTGGCGCCTGGCGCCAGCTAGCCAGGGTTGGCGCCAACCTTGTTTCCTGAGCGTCAGACTCTGTTTTGTTAAATTATCTTTTTGGCTGATTTTCTCTATAAATATCGTATCAAAAACTCCGTTTTCATGGATCATCTACATCTATCATTCACCAATTCACCAATTTTCACCAATTCTATTCATTCTCAAGCTTTCATCAACAATCATTAATTCTTTAGCATTCTTTAATTCATTTAATTCTTTCTTACTTGTTTTCATACAAAATTCCGCATTCACAAGATCTAGAAACGCCTATCCATATTCGAAGTTGCCTTCGCCCTAGACGTGAAAGGTTTTAATTTCTGAGGGTTTGGTCCCAAATTTCTCTTTCAATTATTTAATTTAATTGCTTTGATTATTATTTTCCTTGAAGTTACTAACGTGTGTATTTTGTTATTAGAAAGAGGTACGAGGCATCAAAGTAAGTGCTTTAATTGTTTTATTGATATTATGATGTAGACATCATGTTCATATTGTTATTATGATATTCCTATTATCATGTCAAGGGTATTTTTAATATTAAATATGATTGTTATGATGCTTCCTATGTTCTTCCTAATGTTTATTCATGTTAGTATCATGTTAGGGTTAAAGATTTGATTTTTATTGTTTAGTGACATGCTAGGGTTTGTTATTAATCTTGTTAGTATCATGCCTAGGATCTTGCAATTATTATGCTTTAATATTAACATGAACATGATTATGATTATAATCGTTATAATTTATGATTATGATTATTATTATTATTATTATAATTATTATTCATGATTGATTTTATTTATTATGTTGCTTGTTATACATTATTTATTCTTTATTGCTTGATCACACCTTTTATTGCATGTTTAAAGGGAATTTGTACTTATAATAAGATAGTTAATAATCTTGTTAGGGTTAATTTGATTATAATTCAAGTGATCGCCAATAATAGATTTGTTTGTGCATTAAATTCAACCAACATAGATTAAACAGGTTTAGGGTTAATCCTATTGATTGCATGTTAGTCAGAAAGCGCACATGAATACGAGCAGAATAAAGTAGAGGCCTATTATTAGGGCAGGTTCAATCTCTTGTAGGTTGGATTTGTACCATCATCCCCGAACCCTTATTTGGTTCATGACCTTATGGAGTTGACGATCTCTTGGTATTAGCTAGTGGGGTTCAAGCTAGTGGGATTTAAAGGCTTGAAATTATTCCCTACACCTTGCTATTAGCTAGTGAGACCAAGATAGGACTTAATCTTTGGTAGGCTCGACGACAGCCTATCAAATTTTTTGCGCCGTTGCCGGGGAGGCAAAGTCATATTGAATGTATTATTGTTGAATGAGTCTAAGTGTGTAAATTTTTGTATCATAATTTTTCTTATTTATTTTTGTATATTTGTGTTTTCAACTTGTGATAGTCATTGCTAACGTTTTTCTTAGCTTTGTTTGACTTTGCATGACACGGAAGAGTAAGCAATCACCGCTTATTCCCGTTGATCCGGAGCTAAATAGGACTTTGAGAAACGTCAGGAGACTTTTGCAGGGCCCACCCGAGTTCTCCATTGTGTATTCGGATTCTGATCCGGAAGAAATATTTTCAACCAACGAAGAAGAGAACATGGGTGATGACAATCCTCCTCCACCATTGCTACGAGATTATGACCAGCCCAATGCCTTCACACTTCGGAGTGGCATACGTCACCCCACTACTAATGCAAACAATTTTGAGCTATCGCCTCAACTCATCCGTATGATACAAGGTGATCAATTTGGTGGGAGTTCTCATGAGTGCCCTTTTGCTCATTTGGACAATTTTCTCGAATTGTGCACTACCATCATGCAAAACAACATTACGGAAGAGTTCATCCGTATGCACATGTTTCAATTCTCCCTCCGTGACAAGGCAAAGCATTGGTTGAGAACAGTAGAAGAGGGATCATTGACAACATGGGACGAAGTCACTAGAGCTTTCCTTGGAAAGTATTGTCCACCCAAAAAGACCGTCGAACTAAGGAGGAAAATCACCAATTTCAACCAAGAGATTGATGAGACTTTAAGTGAAGCTTGGGAGCGTTTCAAGGACTACACTAGAAAATTCCCTCACCATGGTTTAACATCATGGATCATTGTTCAAAGCTTTTATGATGATCTTACTCCTACTTCAAGAGCCAACCTTGATAACGGGGCCGGTGGTAGCCTTAAAAAGCTATCGGTGGATGAAGCACACAAAATGATCGAAGAGGTGGAAAAGCACTACGCATATGGAGGTGATAGAAGGCAACCTCAAGCAAAGAAGGCCGGAATCCACGATCTTAGTGCAATGACCTTATTGCATCAAAGTTTGACATGCTAGCTCATAAGCTAGATCAAGCCACTCTTACATCTCCAAGCTCTTCCTCACAACAAGTCATGACTTGTGAAACTTGTGGAGGAAATGATCATATGTCCTCTTATTGCAACTCAACCAACCAAGAGCAAGTGGCGGCAATTGGGCAAAGAAATGATCCATACCCCCAATCCTACAATCAAAGTTGGAAACCCCAACAAAGTACGGGATGGAAGCAACAAAACCAAGGGCCCCCACAAAATAGCTACAATCAAAGCCAAAACCAATCCCAAAACCACTACAACCAACCTCACTCTCAAAACCGACAAGTTCCATATCGCCATCCCAATCAAAACCAACAAAGGTAACAATATTACCAACCCGCTCCTCCACCTCCTCAAAAGTCTAGCCTTGAAGCCGCACTTGAGACCTTCATTATACATCAAGGAAGAAGCAATGTGGATATGCAAGCGAACATCCAACAACTTCAAGCACACAACAAGATAATTGAGAATCAATTGGCACAAATAGCACAACAAGTTGGGAGTTTATCCTTAAGTCCTAGCGGTCACTTCCCAAGCTCAACGGTGGTGAACCCAAAGGAGCAAGATAAGGCCATTACTTTGAGATTGGGGAGAGGTTATGAAGGGTCGGTCATGAGCGAAGAGGAGCCTCAAAAGGGAGATGAGGGAGTTGTGGTAAGAAATGAGGATGACTTTGAAAATGAAATAGTTGATGTTGAGAAAAAGAAGAAACAAAAGAATGACAAGGGAGTAACAAAAGAAAGTGAGGGAGATGAGGAAAGAGTAGAAAAGCCCCCTATGAAAGTATACAAGCCTCCCATTCCATTCCCTCATAGGATTGTAGAAAAGAAATCGAATGAGAAGCTTTCAAATTTTCTTGAAGTCATGAGAGGACTTCAATTGAACATCCCCTTTCTTCATGCCATGTCACAAATGCCTACGTATGCAAAGTTTTTGAAGGATCTTCTATCCAACAAGAGTAGGCTTGAAGAGAGTGCAACCATCTCCCTTCCTAAGGAGGTGAAAGTAATCATTCAAAACAAGCTTCCTCAAAAGTTTGGTGACCCGGGTAGCTATGCAATACCGGTGAAGATTGGAGATATGGAAGCTATGGATGCTTTATGCGATCTTGGGGAAAGTGTGAGCTTGATGCCCTACTCAATTGCTAAGAGTTTGAAAGTTGGAGACTTGAAGCCAACAAGAATGTCCTTACAATTGGCCGACCGCACGGTTAGGCTACCTTTGGGAATTCTTGAAGATGTGCCGGTTCAAGTTGGAAGAGTATTTGTGCCATGTGACACTGTGGTAATGGAAATGGAAGAAGATACTACGGTGCCCCTAATCTTGGGAAGACCGTTTTTGAACACCGCGGGAGTGGTGATTGATATTAAGCAAGGAAGATTGACCTTGAATGTGGGAGATGAGAAAATATCATTTTCATTCCCACAAGCATTGAAAAAGCCATTGTATGATGAAGTTCATAGAGTTGATACTTTGGAAAGGGACTTAGAGAAGTTCCAAGAGAATTTGTTTGAAAGAGATCCTTTACAAGCTATCCTAACGGGAGGCTTAGTTGAGGAAAGTGAAGAAACAAGGGGGTATGATCTTTTGCTCAACCAACCTTTAGTCCACAACGAAATGAAAGTGGAAGTGCTCAATGTGGAGGTAAAAGAAGAGATGACTACGCCTCCTCATAAGGTTGAACTTAAACCCCTTCCTCCTTTACTTAAATATGCTTTTCTTGATGATAGTGAGAGTTATCCCGTTATTTTCAATGCTAATCTTGATGACACCTCTCTTGGGAAACTCCTAGATGTTTTAAGGGAGTATAGAGATGTCATTGGGTATAAAATTGATGACATTAAGGGGATAAGTCCTACTATATGCATGCATAAGATTTTACTTGATGATGATCATGCTTCCTCGATTGAGCACCAAACAAGGCTCAATCCAAACATGAAGGAAGTTGTGAAAAAAGAAGTTTTAAAACTTCTTGAGGCGGGCATAATCTACCCTATCTCCAATAGTAAGTGGGTTAGCCCGGTTCAAGTTGTGCCTAAAAAGGGAGGCATGACCATCATCAAGAATGATAAGGGTGAGACCATTTCTACGAGGTCGGTCACCGGGTGGAGGATGTGTATTGATTACCGAAAATTGAATAAGTCCACCCGGAAAGACCACTTCCCACTCCCCTTCATTGATCAAATTTTGGAAAGACTAGCATCACATAGTCAATATTGTTTCTTGGATGGATACTCGGGATTCTTCCAAATCCCAATCCAACCCGAGGATCAAGAGAAGACTACATTCACATGCCCTTTTGGCACCTTTGCTTATCGAAGGATGCCATTTGGACTTTGTAATGCACCTTCCACATTTCAAAGGTGTATGATGTCTATTGTTTCCGACATGCTTGAATCATCAATTGAAGTATTTATGGATGACTTTTCTGTTTTTTGTTCATCTTTTGACATATGCCTTTCGAATTTGATTAAAGTGTTGAAAAGATGTCAAGAGGTGAACTTAATTTTGAATTGGGAGAAATGTCATTTTATGGTAGAGGAGGGCATTGTTCTTGGTCATGTGATTTCTAGTAGGGGCATTGAATTTGATCGTGCCAAAATTGAGGTCATTAAGTGCCTCCCACCCCCTACAAATGTGAAGGGGATAAGGAGCTTTCTTGGACATGCGGGTTTTTACCGCCGGTTCATAAAGGATTTTTCAAAAATCGCAAAGCCGCTGACTCAATTGTTGGTAAAGGATGCCCTTTTTGTGTTTACTAATGATTGTTTTCTAGCATTTGATAGGTTGAAGGAGGCATTGATTTCGGGTCCTATTATTCAACCCCCTAATTGGGAGCTTCCTTTTGAGCTCATGTGTGATGCTTCGGATTTTGCCATTAGGTCTGTTCTTAGACAAAGGAAGGATAAGAAGCTCCATGCTATCTACTACACTATCAAAACATTAGATGATGCACAAAGGAATTACACGACCACGGAAAAAGAGTTTCTAGCTATTGTTCATGCAATTGAGAAGTTTAGGTCCTACTTGTTGGGGTCTAAAGTCATAGTCTTCACCGACATTCGGCCTTGAAGTACCTCTTGTCAAATAAAGAACCGAAGCCAAGGTTGATACGGTGGGTCTTGCTCTTACAAGACTATGATATTGAGATTAGAGACAAGGAGGGTGCCGAAAATGTTGTGGCCGATCATCTTTCACGGTTACCTATCTTTGTAGGTGATCTTGATAACTTGCCAATCGAGGATTCATTCCTTGATGATCAACTATTTGCTATTCTCCAAGCACCGACACCATGGTTTGCGGACATTGCAAACTACTTTTCTAGCTCTATTCTTTCTCCCGACCTCTCTTATCAACAAAAAAGGAAGTTTCTTCATGATGTGAGCCAATACTTTTGGGACGACCCCTTGCTTTTCAAACAAGGTGTTGATGGCCTTTTTAGAAGGTGTGTCCCGGATAATGAAATTAAAGATGTTATCACAATGTGTCACTCCTCACCTTGTGGAGGACATATGAGTGATAACAAGACCTTGGAAAAAATATTGCAATGCGGTTTCTTTTGGCCAAAAATGTTCAAAGATGTGTGGGGTGTGGTGAAAGCTTGTGATCGGTGTCAAAGAACCGGTAATATTTCAAAAAGAAATTAAATGCCTTTGAACAACATCCTTGAACTTGAAATTTTTGATGTATGGGGCATCGATTTCATGGGGCCTTTCCCGAGCTCTTTTGGGAACAAGTTCATTCTAGTGGTCGTCGATTACGTGTCAAAGTGGGTGGAAGTGGTTGCATCTCCTACTAATGATGCTAAGGTTATGGTCAAGCTCTTCAAAAGAGTAATTTTCCCAAGGTTTGGAGTACCCCGGGCTGTGATTAGTGATGGAGGTTCACACTTTGCAAAGCGATCCTTTCAAGCTCTCCTTGAGAAATATGGTGTGAGGCACAAGGTGTCATTAGCTTACCACCCCCAAACAAGTGGTCAAGCTGAAATTTCAAACCTGGAGGTAAAAATGATTCTTGAGAAAACGGTGGATAGGTCTAGAAAAGATTGGTCTACAAAGCTTGATGATGCCCTATAGGCCTATCGCACCGCGTTCAGAACTCCTATTGGCACCACACCATACAAGCTTGTCTATGGGAAGTCATGCCACTTGCCGGTAGAACTTGAGCATCGGGCTCATTGGGCTATCAAAACATTGAATTTTGACCTTCAAAGCGCCGGTGAGAAGAGGTTGCTTGACCTCCACGCCTTGGAAGAATTAAGGTTGGATGCATATGAGAGTGCAAGGATCTACAAAGAAAAGACCAAAGCTTGGCATGACAAGCATATTAGCAAAAGGGAGTTTAAGGAAGGTGACAAGGTCCTAATATTCAATTCCCGGTTGAAGTTATTTCCGGGTAAGCTTAAGTCAAGATGGAGTGGACCTTTTACCGTTAAGAAGGTATTTCCATATGGAGCGATAGAAATCTCAAATGACAATGGTGAACCGTTCAAAGTGAATGGCCAAAGGCTTAAGGCATACTTTGACGGTTTTGTGCATGAGGAAGACAAGGTTGTTCACCTTGATGAGTTTGATGTTCCCTACTCTCATTGATCCCGCAATGTCGTCAAGCTAGTGACGTTAAAAGAGCGCTTCCGGGAGGCAACCCGAGTTTCTCAACTATCTCTCTCTCTTATAAACTATTACTTAATTTCCATCACTCTTATTATTACTAACTTTTCTATCAATGTCTTTTGTAGGTGTTGATGAAAAGAGAAGTAAGAAAAGGTTTTTGTGAAAGTGAAGTAATAGGGAATTTTAAAAATAATAATAATAATGGTAATAAAAGTAATTTTATCATTATTATGCCTTACTATTATTATTAAAAAAAAAAGAGAGAGAAAAATGTGCAGCATCAGATCTGCACGGACGTGCTGAACATCGCACGTTCGTGCAGAATCAGGCAGAAACGAGCAAAAATGGAGCAACCAACCTTTGAAGTTCAGCACGGACGTGCCAAAATCATCACGTCCGTGCGTGAAAGTCAGCACGGACGTGCCAAATGAGGCAGTAAGCCCTTTAATTCTGCTCGAAGCTGCACGTCCGTGCTGAATTTGGCACGTCCGTGCAGCCTAGACTTTGGTTGTAATAAGCACGGGGTTAGAGCATTAAAAAAAAATCACTCATTCTCACATTTCTCAAGCACGATTCTCTCTCCTCCTCTCTCTAAAAACTCCTCTTCCCCTCCTCAAAACTCACTCAATTCTCCATTCCTACCCAAATTCTCACCCAAATTCAACTCTTTATACCAAAATCTTCACTCCTTTTCAACAAATTCACAAACTACTACTCCTTTCATCACATTCAAACCCAAAAATCAACCAAAAACTCAAACCCTTACTTTGAAAAATCAATTCGGGGGTTTTCTTTGGGAGCTAATTTTGAAGCAATTGGTTGAAGTAGGGTTCTCAAGCAACCAAAAGGAAGGTAAGAAAGGTTCAATTGCGGGTTTTACACCCACGATAAGCTCGGTATAATCGTTCCTCCCTTTCACTAATTTTATGTTTAAATTCTTGAATTTTTGCATGAAATTGCTTGAGAAAGTTTGTTTAAATTGGTTGTGAGTGATTGATAGTTGATAATTACAAAGTTTTAGTGAATTTGGTGGTGTTCGGTGTGTTTTGAGAATTGAAATTTTTGTAAGTATGGAATTAAGGAGTTGATTTTGGTGAAGGAAGAACATACTTGTTTAGGTGGATTGTTGTGTTGATTTGTTTGATAATATTGCATGAAATTGATGAAGAATTGTTGTGGATGCATTATTGAAATGGTCTTTGTTGCTTGGTGATTTACTTGTCTTAGGTGGGAGACTTAGAGCTTAGCTTGATTGTGTTGTAATTGTAGGCCTTGTTTGAGCTTTGGTTGTGTCTTAGTGGACTTAGTGCCTCTTGTGTGTTTATTGTGTTGATTACTTGGTTGTGGTTTGTTTGATTGCATTGCATAAAGACCGACCATGTCTAGAAGAAATCGACATAGAAACACGGACGCAAGGTACCGCAACCCTTCTCCTCCCCCCGTTGATCCACCACAAGTGGATACAATGGGAATAATCTTCAATAACCAAACCTTTTCGAACAATTTCCTAAGAATTAGTAGGAGGAGAATTAGGCCTACCAAATTCTACAACGAGGATGTGGCCGAATCCTTGGGGGTAGGGGAGGACATTAGAATGCTATTCGAGGGATGTGGCCTAGGTGGTTGGCTAGACTTGCACGCCCCGACCTACAAGAGATTAACTCTTGAGTTCCTTTCCACCCTCCAAGTCCAACGGGACACCAAAAAGAACCCCCGCCGCATTACCTTTCAACTCATGAACACCCAACAGAACATGACTATTAATAGGGTGAACCAAGCTTTTGGGTGGCCTACGAACGGAACCATCGGGCCAAAAGATAGGCTACCCTGTAGCTATAATGCGGGTGAGTTTTGGAGGAAAATCACTGGCCTCTTCAACTACAACCCTAGGAACGATAAGTCCACGGCCATCATCCACCCCGCCTTTAGGATGTCACAGCGCACCATAGCGAACACGAGGTTCGCTAGAGGTGATAGTTCGGGGGTAGTGTCCACTAGGGAGCTTCACTTCCTATGGCACTTGAGTGAGGGTAGCACGGCCTTAGATGTAGGGTCTTGGTTTGTAGACCACCTAGAAGATGTTGCCATCGGGTCCGGTAACATCACCATAGGTGGAATGATCACTATTATTGCTACTGCTCTTAACCTTGATTTTGCAGATCATGATGTTTGCCCAGGTGCGACGCAGATTGATACGCAGTCGCTGAGGACGATGAGGTGGATAGAGGACGTGGAAGGGCCGCACCCCAACTTGTGGCACGTGAGTGGGCGGTCCTACGCCTACCTCCCCGACCTGGAGCGGACCTTTATCTACGATGAGACCAACTGGGTCTTTGAGAGAGACCACCCTTGGGATCCCGGTGAAGACGAAGAAGAGGAGCAAGAGCAAGAAGAGCAACAGCAACCACCACCACAACAACAATTCCAACAACAACAACAATACGAGCACCAACAAGGGTACCAAGGTCAAGGCATGGGTGAGGGCAACCCACCCCTCACCTTCGAGTAACAAATGCAGATGATCAACGACGGGTTCAACCGGATGACCACCGAGTTCGAGACTATGAGAAAGTCTCACGAAGACATGAGGTCCTCGTACGACAACATGAGGACAAGCTTCGAGGGTCTTCGGTCGGAATTGGGTGAATTCCGAAATGTCTACCGGCATTGGTACCCCGGGGGCTCAAGCTCCCAAGGAGGCCCGAGCCAATGAGTTAGTCTCTTTATCCCCTTTCTTGTGCTTTAATTGTTTTAACATTGGGGACAATGTTTATGATAGCTTGGGGGGGAGTCTTCCTCTTTGGTTCTTATGTTGGTTCTTGTATGTGTTTGTTGGTAAATACTTTGCATGTTGCTTGTTCCTTCCCCTAACATCCAATCCCCTTAACATCCAAATTTGCTCCCTTTGAAATCCAACACCCTAAATCCAAATCTCTTAATGTGTGAATACTTCTCTTCTCTTCTCTTTTTATTTATTTAGATATATAGTTGTGTTTTAATTTTTTTTTTTATGCTTAGCTTAGTTTTCCTAACTTTCTATCTTTTCTTGCTTTCTAGTAACCTTAAACCCAAAAAAAAAAAAAAATGAAAAAACGAAAAAATTAGCCCTTGGATGAGACTCAAATGACGATGCTTATATGATTTGCTTGCTTGACTCTTGAGTGATGAGTAAAAGTTATTTTAGAAGGGTGTGTGCAAGAGTTGGGGTCATTTAGAGGCTCATTAATCTTGATTGCACTAGTGTATATGAAATGAAAACCGATGAATGCTCAATTGCACGTCTAGCATAGGATATTGTCAAATTTGCCCAAAGTAGGATATGTTTGAATCAAATTGCGGTCCCTTGTGCCCTTGGTGTGTCTCCCTTCCTCCCCAAAATGAAACTCTACTAGGGAATTAGTTCTGTGTGTATCTTGTGTAATAAGTGGCATAATAAGCCACATGTTTCGAATAAAAGAA